TCTATCCTTACAGCCATGATTCTGCTACTGATCCTGCTGACGGCGGAGACGGAGTCTTTGAGGGACTCCTCTACTGCTATCGCCACGCCATTTCGTTTGGTGTCATCCCCATTGTAGTAGAGTTTAACACCCTCTCCGATTTCTCTGGCCTTTTCTCCCTTCCAGCGGGTCTCCTGGAGGCATAGGACTTGGATGTTTCTGCGCTTCATTAGATCGGCGACTTCTCGGGACTTCCCAGCAAGCGAACTCACGTTCAGAGTCCCAATTCGAACTAACTTCTTTGACCGAGGTCGTTCACTCCTCCGTAGCCCTCGCATACTGTCCACAGAACTCGGGCGGGGATCCTGTGCGCCACTTCCGGGTGACGTCCTAGCTTTATCACTGATACCTTTTGAGACTTTAGACATGTTTGTTGTGACTGGGTTTCTCCATCAGCCGGCCTGTCAACCTGGCCTGACGCTGGTACCGATACCATTTTTGCAATTTTTGCAAGGCATGGAGTTACCTCGGCAGGGATCGAACTCGCACTCCCTCTAAGTGCAGACGTGAGCCTACACTCTTATCCACTCGGCTGTCCCTGCCTCGTCCCCGTGCACCTAGGGCGTTCAAATTCAGTAGGAGTTCAGGGGGCAGGATGGCAACACTTATGGTGGGCAGCAGGACCAGACTCCGCCCACAATGGGCCGAGTTCGAGCGAAAATTCATAACTTCTGTCCCCGTGGACCTAGAACGTTCAAACTTGGTAGGAGTTATGGGAACAGGATGGGATTACTCACTGGTAGGTGGCAGAACCAGACCCCGCCCATAGCGGTCGGGGATTGCGCGAAAATTGTCAATTTGGCCCTAGAGCGTTCAAACTTGGTAGGAGTACAGGCGACAGGATGGGAACACCTAGTATAGATGGCAGGAAAGGCTTTCGCCCACAGGGGCGAGGTTTGCGCGAAAATTGACAATTTGGCCATAGGGCGTTCAAAGTATTCCAGTTGCACGAAGATTTTACGGAGGTACACTTCCTTAGCCCATCTATCCTTTTTTTCTCTGAATAATCGTCTTCTTGATATTATACTATGTTATTACCAGACACAGGGAGGATGGCTTACAGAAAAAGTCGCTCCCAATTTGGATGTAATACTGAGGGTGTAGAGCTTTCAAGGAAAAAGGAGAATCCGAAGAGTTACTTACGCATAGCAGATTTCCTACACGAAGGAGGACTGCCAGGCGAAGCCGGGCGAAACCATAAGAAGGAGGGAAGCTCGGCTTAGCCGGGCGGCCCGACTGGTAAAATTAATATGGGAGTCCCGTTGCACGACAGTCCTTTTCACTGAATACCGCATCAAATCAAAACTGAGAGGCCAAAGGGGACTTCAAAGCACCGTAATTAGATTCATGGTTTTCAGTACAGCCGTGGTATCATGCCCCACTGCACCATCACGTTTACCTCAAGGAAGGACCTTTTGAAAGGGCATTTACCTTAAGAGTAGAATTAGCGGATAATCATATGTGCACACAAAGCGATAAACTATTGTTCTACAGTATTTCCTCAGCAGTGCCGTTAAAGGCACGGTTTACGATAGAAAGGTTACTGAGTTCTTCCTCTAGGAATACTCAGCCCCCCCCCCCATGGGTGGTAGAAGGGACCCTCTCGCTTCCACAATCTCGACGCTTGGGGCATAGTGGGAGCCCCGTTGCTGCCGTAGTTCGCTTTCCCGCTCCTCGATCGGTGTCACGTTAGACGAGTGTCGAGACAATACAGATTGCTATTATTCGTTCTAGGACCCACGCACAATCAGCTAATCGCGGAGTGGTAAGGCAATATTATTCTAATTTTTCTTACCATTGTCTGTTAGTCGCACCAGGACCCACGCGCGCGCAGTGAAACACACTGTTTAGCTCGTCCGGACGCCCCTCTCTTCTTCAATTTTCTGGTTTCATTCTCGTTCAGCCCCCTTTTTAACGGTTTTTCGAAGCATTTTTTCACTTTGGAAACACCGATGAACGCAGTTTCTTCACCTCAGTCGCACTAGTTTCGATCTTGCCTTCCATTTTTCATCATAATCTGGATTACCCCAAAATTATCGTGAACTGTGCCTTTAACTTGTACCGTCGCTTTGAAAGCGCGGATAGTGTTCCTAGAATGTGTGGACTGCATCCCTCCCGAAGAGGACTCTGGTCGGATGAGTCCTTCGACTGCCGTCTGCCGTAAGTGCAGGGAGCTGCCGAAGATTTCGAAACACCATCTTGACTGTTCGGCGTAGAGAGGCGTTTATATTCGGTCGGTAGTGGTAAAAAAATTTCATTGGATTACTACTCTCCGGTATATTAAATCGTAAGGGAGCCTGTAGATGCTCAACATTGAGCCCAGAAACGTTTTGCAAGCGTTTAGGATGCATTTCATGGAAAAGCGAAACGAGCGCATGCATCATGGAATGGAACCATGATGCCATGCCTACCAGTCCACCGTCTTATCAGCTGCGCCACCGCTGCCCAGCTACTGGGCCCGGTATC